AATAGTAGAGTATGAGGGGTGCCTCTTGTCTGCTTTCACCTTAAGGAAATATACAAAGGACATGTAGATTCTTTGCAGATGAAGCGACCACTCATTTGACTCAATGTAAAGGCTTTCTACGGGGCTGGTGCGAAAAGCACCCGTAGAAAGGCGGATGCCCGAATGGTGCACGGGATCCAGCATCTTCAAAGCACTTTGAGTCGCTGACTGATAAACAATGGCCCCATAATCTAAGCGGGTGCGAATAAGGCTTCTATACAGGTTCATGAGGCATTTCCTGTCACTACCCCACGTAGTACGTGACAACACTTTTATAACATTCATGGCTTTTAAACATTTTGTTTTTAAATACTTTGTGTGGGGTACGAAGGTCAACTTGTTGTCCAAGATTAAGCCTAAGAATTTATGCTCGGCTTTGACGGACAGTTGTTGCCCGTTCAGTTGAATGTCGGGTTCCGAGTGCATGCCTCTCTTTCGAGAGAACAAGACACAAGTGCTTTTTTGTGGGTTAAGTCGAAATCCGTTTTCATCTGCCCATTTGGAGACCTTATTTAAACCCAGCTGAACCTGCCGCTCACACATGGCCAAGTTGCATCACTTGAAGCCAAGCTGAACGTCGTCGACATATGTACAATAGAACATATTGCGGGGAATGGACAAGTGCAAAGAATTCATTTTAATAATAAAAAGTGTGCAACTAAGCACACCACCTTGTGGCACGCCTGTTTCCTGGACAAATGTTTGGAAGAGCACACTGCCCAGACGGACACGGAATGTCCGGATTGACAGGTAACTTTGGATTATATGAAACATTCTTCCGCGCACACCAAGGTGGGACAGGTCTCTTAGAATTCCGTAACGCCATGTAGTATCATAAGCCTTTTCAATATCGAGGAACACAGAGAGAAAATATTGTTTATGGACGAACGCGTCTCTGATCTGTGCCTCGATACGAACAAGGTGGTCTGTGGTGGATCTACTTTCTCGAGACCCGCACTGAAATGGGTCGAGCAAATTATTTGTTTCAAGAAAATGTACAAGTCGGCAGTTTATCATTTTTTCGAAGACTCTGCACAAGCAGCTTGTAAGTGCTATAGGCCTATAACTCTGGGAATAACAATAGCCTCTTTCCAGGAGGTAGGAATAGTGCCAGAAGACCAAATAGCATTGTACAAACAAAGTAAGGTTTTTTGGGTTTCGTTTGGTAGGTTTTTTAACATTTCATACATCACACGGTCAGAACCTGGGGCAAAAGTACTGCAGGAGTTTAGAGATGTTTGGAGCTCAGCTAGATTGAAAGCTTGGTTATATGCCTCGTATCTAGTGGATTTGTGTTCGAGTTTCTGCTTTTCTATTCTTGTTCTGTATTTTTGGAAAGTGTCAGTATAGTGGGACGAGCTGGATACCTGTTCGAAGTGTGCACCGAGGAAGTTTGCCTGATCTTCCAAGGTATCACCCTGAGTGTTTACAAGTGGAAGTGTGTGTACTTGTTTTCCTGCTATCCTACCGACCATGTTCCAAACTTTAGCCTCCTGTGTGTATGAATTAACCCCTGATAAAAACTTCTGCCAGCTTTCTCTTCTGGCCTGCCGACGCGTTCTCCTGTCTTGAGACTTTATTTTCTTGAAGGTTTCAAGATTTTCGGCTGTCAGTGAGTTCCGAAGCAGCCTCCAAGCTCTGTTTTGCTGTTTGCGCGCGTTTCGGTATTCAGAGTTCCACCATGGCACACATCGTTTTCCAGGGTGTCCATTTGTTTGTGGGATGCATTTTGTTGCAGCATCAATCAAAAGTGCTGTGAAGTAGTTCACAGCAACATCAATGTTCAAAGTACAGATGTCATTCCAACCTAGACAAGCGATAGTATGAAACTGTTCCCAGTCGGCTCTGTTTATGAGCCACTTGGGAACACGTGATGGACACTCATTTACTGTCGTCGTGCTCAAAACTACGGGGAAGTGGTCACTTCCGTACAGATTAGTGACGACTTTCCACTGAAGTAGAGGCACAAGAGATGGAGATACTATGCTCAGGTCTATGGAGGAGTAGGTGTTATTAGCGAGGTTATAATAGGTTGGTTTTTTTTTTTTATTTAGGAGACACGCGCTCGACGAGATAAGGAACTGTTCGATCAGTCGACCTCACGCGTCATACCGAGAGTCACCCCATAGCATGCGCATTAAAGTCTCCAAGGAGAACATAAGGCTCCGGAAGTTCATCAATTAGAGAGTGTAAATCGCGCTTTTGCAGCTGATAGCTAGGAGGAATGTAAATAGTGCAGATTGTGATCAGTTTATCAAAAAGAACTGCTCGAACAGCCACTGCCTCAAGGGGTGTTTGGAGTGGTAAGTGTGTGCATGCTATTCCTTGATTCACTATGATGGCAACACCTCCGGATGATGTCATAGCATCAACACGGTCTTTTCGGAAAATAACGTATTTACGAAGAAAATTTGTGTGTTTTAAATTCAGGTGTGTTTCTTGTACACACAGCACTTTTGGCGAGTGTTCATGTAAGAGTTCTTGGATGTCGTCAAGGTTTCTGAGAAGGCCCCTGACGTTCCATTGTATAATTTGAGTGTTCATGGTGAATGTGAAATAGTGCTGTGTGTACGAAAAGCGAGTGGCTGTTTAGACGGGGAGTTTGAGTTCACTTAACAGGGCCATCACCAGGCCCTGTTATTTGCTTTTTTGTTTTCTTGGCGCGCTCCAAGAAGCCACGCCGCTCTTTCGGCACCAAGGGTGCCGATGTATCCATTGCCTCCTCGGAGGCACTGGATGCCCGCACATGCGGGCTGTTAGTTCGGATTTTGGGCCTCGCCTGGTGAGGGGAGGCCTTGAGACCCGAAGACTCTGGAGTCTCCGGTCTCTGTTTGGGAGTAGGCGGTGTAGCCTGGGCTATAGCCGCCTTGGGGGCAGGTGCCACAACCGCCGGCTCGGTATGTGCGGGCCGGAGGGGTGGCGAGGGCTGGTGCGGCGGTGCCCCCTGACGCGCCGCATCAGCGTATGTAGGTCCATAGAATAGAGCGACTCTTCGCCGTGCTTCCTTAAATGTAATGTTCTCCTTCACCTTCAACGTAATTATTTCTTTTTCTTTTTTCCAGTATGTGCAGGAGCGTGAATATGCGGCATGGTTTCCTTCGCAGTTTACACAGTGTGGCGGTTGTTTGCAGTTCTCAGACACGTGGCCTAAGACTCCACATTGTGCACAAGTCTGGTGACCACGACAGGTTTTAGAGCCATGGCCATACCTCTGGCATTAGAAGCAACGACAAGGATTTGGTATGTACGGCCTGATAGATGTCTTTGTGTACCCTGTTTGAATTGATTCCGGTAGTTTACTGGATGCAAATGTAAGTATTAAGTGTTTTGTTGGTGTTTCCTTATTATCTCTTCTGATGATGATTCTCTGTACATTAGTGACATTTTGGCTCTTCCACCCCTGCAAAAGTTCAGTCTCAGTCAAGTAAGTCCATGTCAGATACCACTCCGCGAGTTGTATTCATTGATCTATGTGGTGTTACGGTTATTGGTATGCAACCGAAATCTGAGAGACGGTCTAGCTTTTTAAATTGTTCTTTGTCACGGATTTCGAGGAGAAGGTCTCCACTAGCCATTTTGGTTACCTTGTATCCTGTGCCAAGAGTTTCGCTAAGACATCTAGAAACTAGGAAAGGAGAGACGGTCCTGGCTTGCTTTTCAGTTTTTTCACAGTGAATGATGTGGAAATGGGGAAAAGTTTCTGTTGGCTGGTTGAAGAGATTTATGTCGTCGGTGCGTACCCGCTTTAGGCCGGTACGATGAGATAGTAGAGGGAATGCGCCATGCATGCCGGTCTTATTTTTGTTCAGCAGCGTTGGCAGCCACCCACCACGGAGCCCAACAAGGGGACGCTGCAAGTTTACAGGTGCTGAAAGCTTGCAGACGTCAGCCGTACAACACTGCCATAACCCAATGCGCCTAGACCAAGGTAGGCTATTTGCACAGGGTTGACCCTTGCCGCCAGGAAAATTGGAAGTAAACAGAAGAGAGTAGAAGACAGGACAGATGGATAGTGGGAGATAAAGACGAAGATGTAGGCAGAGAGAGATAGGAAAAGGCGACTGCCGATTTTCCCCTGGGTGGGTCAGCCCAGGGGTGCCGTCTACGTGAAGCCGGGGCCAAAGGGGTGTGTTGCCTCTGCCAGGGGGCCTTAAAGGTCCAATCACCCAGCGTCGGCTCAACCCCCAGGATCTCCTTTTCCCCGAACACAGCAAAGCCACGCACGGCTAGGCGTGGGAGGGAGTAGAAACTCCCCCGTTAGCTCGGGTCCGTGGTGTCGCTACACACCAAACGCCTACTTGCGCAGGCGCCCCTGCAGGGGCACCCAGCAGCACGCACGCCGCCTGGCAACAGAGACTAAGTGGTTCATATCTGCTCTGACAGGTGCTGCTACCCTACTTCCACACATTCTACAGCCCACGACAGCCAATCAGGTCAGCAGCCACAGTGGCATGTCAGAGAATGTCACTCTGTAAATGGGGCGGTTGAAAATGCGTTTGGCCGAGTCACAGCGATTCGCACTTTTTAAAGCATTGTAATCAATCGCACAGTTTACGCACAGTTTACGCACAGAGCTCAAATCAGTCTCTAAATTAGCCTTAGGATTTGGTCTACCAGCCCAATGTGTTTGTACACAATTGTCGAAACCGTTTCAGGGTGCCATGTCACAGTGCTCCTTCGCAAAAGGACCACAATACTGCAGCAGAAACATGTACTAAAGTCAAACATTATCTGGATGCCTTCTTCTTCACGGCACACAGAGAGTGTCACACCTTAATTAATTTTTTTGGACCGCAGTCAAGATTCAGTTTAAGAAATCTGAGGTGCCCATCATGCTGGTGTTGTACAAACACATAGACATGAATATACACAAAGTAACATGGCAAACAAGACATCAATTTCAAGCAATGCTTGTGAAATGATGTACACTGACCAAAAGCTGGCTGACATTTTTGACTCACCATAATCTGTACACTGTTGAATGAAGCCAATGGCTGCACGACAAGCTGGTTCTAAAATCTCCAGATGACGTCCCAGGAAGCCAGTGCCAAAAGAGCTTTCCAGAGGGGCTGCATGCCAGGAAAGTGAAAAGGTGCATCATTCCAGGATATATGATTGGGCATAGACCACTGAAAATGTGGGTTGCGAGACTACCCACACTAAAGGTACCATATTTACTGGGATAATCTACACAGTACTTTTTTTTTAACGATTTTGGGGCTTTGAGAGGGGAGTGTGAAAATTGCGAAGGGATTTCACGAACGCATATAAAATAATGTGCAATAGTTCTCAAGGCCGTAGAATAATGTTAAAAAATAAAAGATGTTACAAAATTAGCACGTACTTTAGCCGATCAGATCCGGTTACGCACGGTTCAGTGGGAATCACTGATCCAGAGGTCTAATTGTGCATCATTGTTGCAGCCGCTGTCATCGCCCTCTCTAAGTGCATCGTCCACAGTTCCTACAAGCGCATTCCAATGCCTCGTTTTCTTGAAACTCTCCTTGACATTGCTGGGAGAGACTAGGTCCCAGGACAATTGTATACCGGAGGATCTAAGCGTTCGCACATAACTGAAAAGGCCTTCTTCGATGGCAGGAAACTTGCATTAGCAAGCATGCGCTCTGCTGCCTTCTCCCATGCCGATCACTAGAGACTGAATTATAGGAGAATGCCTATTTTGTTCCTTGCATTCCTATCGTGCCACTTTGATATATGAGCATGAATTAGAGGTTAAGAAGGGCTTTTATAGTGTTTTTATAGTGCCTATAAATGCCTATTCTTGGTGCTCGTGCCTAAATGCCTATAAGTGCTTATATAAGCCTATTTTCCAAATGAGCGCTATACAAACCCAATTTTTTTTTTCGAGCGCAGTGTGAGATCGTTATTCATGTAAAAAAGGCAACATTGATATTTCCAAACACTATAATATTCAACGAAGACAAAACTGACATGCTGTGAGCGATTCAAGGAGGAGCATGAGGAGCGCAACAGACGCTATTTCTGCAGCCCTGGGTGGAAGCTCATCTCAGCGTCGGCAGGAGAAAGAGGAGAGAGAATTAAAGTAAGAAAATACAAGTGACGTCTATGGCCGAGGACGCAGCGACCACCTTCTACAGACACTGTCCAGAGCGCTCAAGGAACTGAAAAACCACCATGAAGACCTGGGTGTTGCGGTGGGAAAGGAACAGCTGGTTTTTCTGGGCAGCCACGGATAGCTGGAGAACGAATGAAAAACCATGAAGGGCCACTCATAGAATGCTCTTGTTGATTCAGTGGTGGCAAAGGTCGCCAAATCTTTATACTTTATACAGCGAAGCCTGAGACAGGCGCCGGCATATTTACAATCAACGGTGTATTTAGCATACCTTAAACGCTTGAATACGCTTCTTCTGTATGAGATCCGTTGTCATATGTCTTTACGTGACAAACATGAAAAAATATAGCACAGGGCTTCAAGCTTTGTCCTAAGCTATCACTCGAAATTGACAGCTGTAACAATATGAAAAATGAACTAGGATGGGAATTACTATCATCACGTCTAATTAAACTGTGAATAAAGTTCTTTTGTTAAGCATTTAATGGTAAAACTCACAGTCAAAAATGAATGCACTAAAACAGCCCTCTTCATGCAAGGTAATTGAGCTTTTATAACATCGTTGCAGATATAATTTTCTATTAATTTGTTTTTTGTTAGTTTCGTGACAGAATGAAATTGCTTATAAAGAGAACAAAGTGTGTTGTGTCCATGAAGTCGTGTTTTCTTTAACATTGTAACCCATCTGCAGCAGCGCCTTTGGGTAAAAAAATGTGATGTGCAGGCGGCTTTTGTTTTGTTTGTAATTTACTTTTTAGGTGTCCATCTCTAGATGACATAATCAGTTGTAGTTAGACACTAGAAGTTCTCTCATGCCCAATGAAAAGCGTTCTACCATAGTGATTTTTCAAATTGGTTATCTATGAGCCACCAAAGCATAATGCGAAGAAGCAAGCTTGAATCCCTTGCCTCACGTCCCATGTAGCCATCGCGAGCCTCAATCTTCTCCTGTTCTCTTCAGTATCGGCGCTCGAGAGTCACATGACGCATACGCATTAAGAAAAACACGCGTAAGCAAGGTCACACGTGCGTGACATGTCCCAGCCTATACTTGTGCACGTACGCCATCAATGCTGTGTTGTTTCGGCGTACTCTGTTGTGTAGTACCAGTTTCTGCGGGGTGGATCACCCAGTGCATGTACTTTAGAAGAAGCTGGCAAGAATCATGTATTGTGACCACGATACACCACGTCGCTCCACTGACACTGCGGTCAGAGACGACGCACCAAACACAAGCTAAGCGTTGTCAGGGTTGGCGAAGGCCCGATGCAGGATCGACGAGAAGACAAATGCAAGTAAAATCAGGTAGTAGTAGTAGTAGTAGTAGTAGTAGTAGTAGTAGTAGTAGTAGTAGTAGTAGTAGTAGTAGTAGTAGTAGTAGTAGTAGTAATAGTAGTAGTAGTAGTAGTAGTAGTAGTAGTAGTAGTATGTGTGGTTTTAAAAAAGAAAACACGATATGAATATAAGGGATGCCATAGCGGAGGTCTCCGCAAATTTTGACCATCTGGTGTTCTTTAATGTGCACTGACATCGCGCAGTGCACGGGCATCTGCTTTTTTTCCTCCATCTAGATGTGACCGCCGCGATCGGAATCGAGCCCGCAGCATTCGGATCAGCAGTCGCTCCATCCAGCCAGGCGAATGCGAAACGAGGGCTGATTAGTGGATAGCATCTTGAGGCTATTAAAAACAAAAATAAAAATATTAACAAGCTGAGATTCCATTTGCGTGTTTTATTATTTTTCTATTCATTATACTGATTTTGAAAGAAGATTGCACAGACACAGGAAAAAGAAAGACATTGAGACAAAGAGCGCTGTCTTTCTTTTCCCTTTGTCTTTGTGCTTCCCATTCAAAATGATATGAAGCAGCTTGCCCAAACCAACATACTACTATTCATGCTACACAACACAACATACAAATGGCACATGCCAAGTAGAGTAATGTCACGTTCAACACTTTTAAGGAGGTACCATTTAAAACGCAGGATATAATCAGGAGAGAGGACATTTTTCGTCTGTTTTTATAGATATAGCTAACATTTAACGAAGTTCTGATGAAGAGCATTTTGTATGCGACGTCAGTCCATCAATGTCAACGTAAAGGAGCAACGTAAAAAAATTGGCCCTGTATCTGCATGTTTGACGGCAAATGTCATCGAAATACGATAGTCTTGCGTGTGGAGAGAGTGAACCAAACGTTTATTCGATGTTATGCACGAGAAAATTGGTGAATTGTATTCTGTAAGCGCTAGGTTAGAGAGTCTCGATCCGTGCAGCAAAAGCGAACAAACACATTGAGGCAGGTTAGACACGAGTGCCATCTTTCAAGTTATCTTCGAAAACGAAGGAAGGCGTGCTCGTCCGCGGAGAAAAATGCGCCTGTCTCGGAAGCGATAAGGAGTACAACGCGAAGCAACGGGCAGGTGCCACTACCGTGTCATCTTAGCAAAGCGTTGAAAACACTTGCCTTTTTGAGCATCGTGTTGCACTGTCAGCGCAGCGTGAGAAACGCTGCGATCCATAAAATTACTTGTGTGTGCTTTCTCTAGTATAAAGGCACACATACAAAACATTGACGTGTTGTTATGGTGCCCCAGATATGCACAACGATTGCTTTTTAAGTTACAATCGCACAAGTATGAACGCTGAAACTAGAGCAATATTAGTGGGCGCTGCTGATGGGGTTGGCCATTTGAGGTATCGTTTGGTCATTTCGGTGCCACAAAGAAGATCGTTACCGCGGACAAACAGACAAATGTACACAGACAGACAGACTGACCAAAATTTTGGCATCGAAGGTTCCCCAAGAAAGACTACCCTGTTTAAAACGGGACCATTTCTTGACGTACGTCACTCCCTAGATCTTGGGGAACACGCCCCCGAGAAGGGCAAGTGGAATTGGAAATTGAGCGTTTTTCCTCGACATGTAACTTTGCAAGTCTTGACAGGAATGATACAGAGCGTACAGTGCACCATTATGCTTGTCAGCTTGAAATGCCCAAACCTAGTGAGGTGCCCTTTAAGGTTTTGACCGATAGGGGAGATATTAGTCCTACGCAATTAGACCTAGCATTCTGGGGTATCAGTGGTCTGGTTCTTTGCTCCTGCGCTGCCCTTCCCAGCCTCAACAAAACGAAAGAGACCCAGGAGAGTGTTAATCGAATGGTGGACACTTGACGCACAATGCGAGACAACAAAACGAAAGACCACATACTGCGAGTCGTACGGGAAATGCATGCCTATATTCAATCGTTGGCACATTTCTGCTATCTTAAACAATATCAATTTTTTTTGCTTCTTGCCATAGATACAAGTCAGCGAGGTCGTTGTTTTGGGATTTTTCACTTTTTATAGAAATTTATTGTGCCTATAATTATGATTTTGAGGGCCTAAAACGGTGTTTTACCTGACTGTCTGGTGCCTGAAACACTTTTTTGGTGCCTAAAAATCAGGCCTCTACCGATCACGCTGATCATCACAAGTTGAAGAACTTCATGCTGAAGTGCTAGGCGGTGACACGGTTCCCATTTTCAACATACTCTATAACAGCAGCTTTGAATCAATTTCGCTGTACGAATAATTTCTATAGCCCATCGCAAGGGAACAGTAAAACCACCACAGACAGATGGCGGAACCTAAGCTTCAAAAATAAACCAAGCGTGTGTTGCAGCGTGGAGGTAGAGAACGAGGGGAACAGGACGACAGCCCTGCAAGCTTCCAATGTAGGAAGTTGTCCGTGCCTCAGCGCGAGCGTGCCTTCTCACGGTGGTAGAGCTGGGGAGATAGAGCGGAGGCAAATGCTTGAGCAGTTCTGGCAATTCGTCAAGAGGTTTGAGTGTTCGGGCACGATATTTAGGTTTGAGGTAGTCCTTGATAAAAGGACTTCGCACTCGCAGCCCATTTGACTTCGCTCGCCTCCTCTGTGAGTGGTGCGCCCGGCACGCCCGCTTAAAGGGAGACGCAGTTCTTGAAAACAGAAAAATTGCAAAAAAAATCTGTTTTTCTAATAACCATATTGTTGGGTCATATGTCACATAAACTACCTATTTTGTAAATATCAGCGCTTAAGTCAACCTCAGAATTTTAAAAAAATGTTTTTCTCGAGGCCACCACAGCGCCCCAAACACGTACAAAAGCCAAAATCAAACCAAACTTCGCAGGCGTACCATTCTGAGACCATGCGGTCACCACGCGCTATCTTGGTCTGATTCGACCATGAATTCTTTCTCTCTCGTTTGCCACCTTTCAAAATGGCTTCATTGACGCGGTTGAGACGCTATCGGCATATCCCCGGGATGCGATGTGGAGCGCTGATTGGCTAAAGCAGCTCATTCATATCTCGCGGGTGAAAGCGCACCCGTCGTTGGCTGCTGCGCTGGAAGCGGGGCGGTCCCTCTCAGCAATGGCACGTCGCTCGTCTCACTGTTGCTCTCTACTCCGTTCGCCTTGACAGACGTCTGCTTACGAGCCGTTTTTTGCCTTGCGCTGTATTTTTCATCAGTTTCTCGTCTTTTTTTCTTTTCCCACAAGTTCTGTGCCCTTTATCTTTGTTGCTGTGCATGATGCCGGCAACGAAGCCGAGGACGGTGCACAAGTTCACAGCGCGGAAAAGCCTTATGCGGCATATACAAGAATCGAAATTACGCTTTCCTGCTGCCAGTGCCCAGAGCAAAGATGCTTGCAGCAGTGAAACTGTGCTGTCGACTGCCACCAGTCCAGAATCGGACACACTGTGTGTATCTAGAGCCACAAATGCATCGATCGTGTCCGAGATCGCCGGATTCAGCATGTGCTCTGAATCGGTGCCGTCGAGCATGACACTGAGTGTGGCTGAGATCGCCAGACCCAGCACTTCGTCTGCATCGAGGCCATCAATGCGTGGGCCGTCGACCCTTCATCATGGACGCATTTCCTAACTAAGGAAAAAATCGATGCGAATGCGAGAGGTCGAGAAGCCGTTCGCGCTTTACTCGAATCCATGCCAGCGACGAAAAAAAAATTTGAACTGATGCAGCCGGCTCTTGAAAGGAATGCCTTACGCCTGAAAAAAAATTCTAAATGGCACTTAGAAAAGATGGAGGAAAGACAAAAAAGGAAAAGAGTGCACAAGGACACTTCAAGCTACTCTACCAGAGCTTTTTGAGGAAAAGACATGTGCTGGACTTTCAAAGCTCGTTTTCTCAAAATGGATTTTTTAGCTAGTTGTGGTGCTGACGAAAGTGATTTCTCAAGAACTACTAATGAGATTTGTGTGCTGTTTGTTTTATTCTGTTCTTGGATAATTTTGCCAGGGTCTGCGAAACCTCATTCTCCGTAACAGCCTTGTCGCTCGTTCCTTAGCGGCTCATTCTGCTCACCTACATTCAGAAGCCCACTTGCTACCGCGTTTGTCACAAATTTTACGGCAACCACATTATAACCGGTCTTTCATTTTGGTGGACTCCACAATAAGCGGTATGCACAGAGTTCTATGGCAGAATAAATGGAAGCGGAAAAAGACCACATTGTAACCACTCCTGCATATGTTGATATGTGGGGTTTAACGCCCCAAAACCACCATATGATTATGAGAGACGCCGTAGTGGAGGGCTCCGGAAATTTTAACCACCTGGGTTTCTTTAACGTGCACCCAAATCTGAGTACACGGGCCTACAACATTTCCGCCTCCATCGGAAATGCAGCCGTCGCAGCCGGGATTCGAACCCGCGACCTGCGGGTCAGCAGCCGAGTACCTTAGCCACTAGACCACCACGGCGGGGCCTCCTGCATTATGTTATAACAGTTTTGCACATTCTACAAGGGTAAAGGAATACTGGGCACCAGTGCCTTGCTAAGAGCCAGAGGGTTAGTGTTTTCAAAATGGCACTTTTGCAGCCGCACCCTCCATAATACAGTGGACTCCCAATAAACGAAACTCGCTTAAACGAAAATGCTTCATTAACACAACTAAACGGGCTCATATGGCTGGATTTCTATGTGTTGCGCAGTAAAATTTATCGGTTAACCGAAACAGTGCTTATTGGTCCCTTATGGTTTAACGGCATAAACTCTAGCATAGACTTGCTCATGCCAAAGGTAGTCTCACAACCATGGCAACACCTATAGCTCGAGACAAGCCAATCTAGTAGCCATTCTCACTTGTGGCTGTGGGAGCCAATTGTGCGTTAGGCCTATCTGTGCGGCGAAATGCAGTGGATCACGCTGCTATTTCAGCCTGATGAAAAGGAAGCAGTCGCACCGTACACTCTTGCTTGAAAAAAAGCTGCAAATTGTTCAGGAGCTCGATCGAAGCGGCCTGCTCAAGATGGAGGTGGCAAAAAAATACACCCCGAAATCAACGCTGTCGTGGATCTGGAAAGACAGCGAAAAGATTGAAGGCGCTGTTAAGAACGGAACCTTTACATCTAAACGGATGCAGACGACGCCTTATGAACAACTAGAAAAGTTCTTTTTCTGTGGTTCAAGCGTGCACGGAGTTCCGATTTCCCCATAAGCGGACCAATTCTCGAGCAGAAAGCTCGAGAGATCGCTATGAAAATGGGTGTAAAGAGCCTTGTCCTAAGCGACGGATGGCTCAGCCCCTTCAAAACACACCATGGCCTAGTCTTCAAAGCAATCTCAGGTGAGAGTGGTGCAGTCAACAGGGTTATTTGCACTGACTGGCAACAGGGCCAGCTTAAGAAAATTTTGATGAGCTTTGAGCCACGAGACGTCTGCACCGTCGACGAGATGGGTCTTTTTTATAAGGCGCTTCCATCAAAGACTCACACCTTCAAAGGCGAAGCCTGTAGTGGAGGAAAACGCAGTAAATATCTTATCACTGTGCTGGTGGGTGCAAACATGGCAGGAGATGAAAAATTGAAGCTGTTGGTAATAGGAAAATCAAGGCACCCACGTTGTTTCATAGCCATTCGACACCTTCCCGTTGCGTGCCATGGGAACGGAAGAGCATGGATGACCATGGCCATTTTCGAAAACTGGCTTCAGGAACAAGACGCAAGATTTACGAGGCAAGACAGGAAGGTTGTCTTCATCATGGATAATTGCCCAGCCCATGGTCAGGTTGAAGTACTCCAAGCCATCACTCTGGAGTTCTTACCAGCCAATGCAGGGGTAGTAATCTAGCCAATGGATCAAAGGGCTATTCAGACATTAAAGTTCATTACTGCAGACAATTGCTCCATCAAGTTCTGCATAGAGCAGGCAGCGCGAAATGCTACAGCATAGATTTATTGGCAGCCATCCACATTTTGGCTTGTGCCTGGGAGCAAGTGAAGGGAACAACAATACACAGATGCTTTCACCATGCTGGCTTTGAAGCGCAAGAAAGCAGTATCTGATGAAGAAGGAAGCCCTGCTGATGCCGACATTGAGACATTATTCAGTCAGGTCGTACCCTCTGCCCCTTTCACGCTGCAGGACTACGAATCAATTGATGAAAATGTTCGTACCTGTCGTGAAGAGACTGTCGAGGAAATGATTGCCGAAGTGCAAGATGAGCATCAACTTTTCAGCGATTAATGTGATGACAATACTGCCAGTGCAGTGGTGCCACCAGACCGATCAGGTAAAGAGGCTGTTGAACTTTTGCAGCGCCATGTTGAGCATGAGACTTGTCCAGAATTTCAAGCTAGTTTGTCAGGCATGGGTGCGTACCTTGTGAAAAAACAACTCAAGCTTGCTAAACAAACCACTTTTCATTCCTTTTTTTTTTCTCCTCCTCATCCTCATGAGTAAGCTGAGGTTTGTGCAATTTGAATAAAGGTCCTGGTACACTAAATAAGTGTACTTTACTTAAATAAAACTTCTGATAAATGGAACAATTTTATGAATCCCCTTCGAGTTCCACTTAAGAGGAGTCGACTGTGAGTAGAAAAAATTCGACATTCAAACGCGCAACAACACTCTCAGAATGAATTTTTGAGAACAACATAACCCAGACAACACTTTGCGAAAATCAGAAGGCTCCTACAAGACCACAACAATTTCCCTCTACCAAGTATTCTAGTGATTCACTATTCTCAATGCAATACATTTCAAATGGCCACCAAATTGCCAGGACTGCAATCAAGCAAGTGCAGTATCATAGTTGCTCGTCATGCATGTTAGCCACAGCAACAAAGCTGAATTGAGTGCTGGCAAAAGTCGGTTGAAATGTGTGTTAAATTAAAACTTGTTACAGTATTCATATTTCAATTAAGTAAATTGAGCACAAAGGTAAATGCAGTTTGTTGTAGAAAAAAACCACTAAGTTGAACGACATATTAGAAATGTAGCAAGCCCAAAAATCACCTTGCACAACATGCTTTAATGGGCATGATGGTACATTCTGGAATAGAACTGAGCACAAAAAGACGAGACACAAGAAAAGAAGACTGCTAGACAAGCGCTCACTACCAGCTGAATTTATTTGGACAAAACGCAAGAATAGAAAGCCCAGTACACCACAGATGCACCTGAGAACACGTCAATTGAGAAAAGGCTTATCATAACCTGCACTCAATCAACTGCAACTCATTCACACACAAACATACCGCCTTTGGTTGAAACATTTTGTGCCTTTTCTTTTTATAAGACAATCCTCCAAAAGCTCGTATACCATGGCATTACTGCTATGGCCCTTCAGGTAAGGGAACAGAGGCACACAGTCGCACTCTGTGCAGAGCACTAGAAGATGCCCGCATTGAACGTTTGTGAGAGAGTGCAGTCGTCTTCTCGTGTTCTGTGCTTTCGTGCTAAAGCCTATTTCAGATTACACAAATCAAACTTGTCATGCAGGATTTCTGATGAATGCAATTAGGATGACTTACGCAGAGGCACATTGTCCATGGTGGTTTTCCAGGCCCTCTCCAGTGGAAGTTGCAGCAGCCTGAGCAGCACGTAGAAGCACTCCCGCCGAAGATTGTCATGGTCATGCTCTGAGCGAGGAAAAACAATAGCCTCAGGCACATTGCCACACCTGTACAACACTGGCACAACCCCTGCAAAAGTGCATATGGCAAATGAAACAACTTAGCACACCGGCGGCTACTGCAGTGTGAGAGCCTACATCCTCCTCCTTTCGCCTTTTCTTTTATTTTCGATTGCTGTTTTGCGAGGTTTGATCAGCCAACCACAGCTCGCGCCTTTTGCTGTTGCCCTCGCAGGTAGCCATCGCCTCGCGGGCGCTTTGTTGCTCTCGAGCTGTCGCGTCACCTACGTACCACCGCATGTGCAGCATTTCTCCTATGCAAGCCTGGTGTGCAAAGCCACTGCGACTCCCTTCTCGTATAGCTATGGCCAGCATCAAGAAGCGTAAGACCCTTGAATTTGCGACTATTCAGCGTGTTGAGGCAGGCGAGAAATGTTCGACCGTCACGGACGGCTTCGGGATACTACGGAGCCCTCTGAGTACCTTATTGAAAAACAAGGCAGCAAACGTTGGGAGCCTATTATGTGCACACTTCTGCCCACGGGAAGAGGCCCTCCATGCCTGGTTTTTAAAAGTGCGCGCAAAAAACATTTCAGTGGATGGCCCAATGCTGATTGCCAAAGCCAAATGGTTTGCCACTGTACTCGGTGAAACAACCAACTTTGCTGACAACAGCGGGTGGCTTCATCGATTTAAGCAGCACTACAACATCGTTGGCAAAACCATTTCTGGCGAAAGCGAAGGTGTCAGCTGCCAGGACATCCAGCTGTGGATGACGAAGGAGTGGCCGGAAATCTCTGCGAAGTTTTCTCTCGCAGAGATCTTCAATGCCTGGCCGGGCGTTAATACGGACACGATGGTCAGATGATTCCGCAACGTAGGCTTCAAGACAGCGGAACTTGCAGAAACCGGCTAAGACGAGGACGACGAGCGTATAGACGACAAGTTTCGCGAGTTGTAATAAGATCGAGACTAGCGTCTCCAACATTTCAGAAACGAAGAAGCAGGCCAAAGTTAGTGACTTTTTTTTTTCCTGCAAATAAAATATTCTGTTGGGGTGTGTGTGTGAAATTAGTCATTCTTGAATGCACCAACTGTCGGTGATAATGCGCTGCAGGTAAGCTCTCGGGGCCTCTTTTTTTATATCAAACTTTTCATATATCGAACTAATTCACGATACCCTTCGAGTTCGATATATCCGTGTTCGACTGTATTTATTTTGAGAAAAAAGAAGTAATAATTTTGATGTTGGTTCTGGAACACGGCACACTAAACATTTCAGTGTGTTCACAAAGTTATTGACTACAGTCATTAGCAGCACACCACGGTTAAGTCGATGGAGACGATTCAATTCATCCGATGAGAAATGTATGTTCTTTTTTTGGGCCACCAGTAGCATATTTTCAAATCTTCGGATTATTTTTCTAATAAATGTCAAATACTTGTCAAATATTTTTCAAATACTTCCAAGTAAAATTGAAGAAAAAAGGCTGCAGAGGTTCCCTGAACAGATTCTCGTGAGACAGGGACGTGCATGTGTATGTGTTTCTTTTGCCTAGGTCGGTGGAGCGCTAGTGGGGTGATGGGGCTTTCCATTCTGAACGAGATGGCCGTCTCAGCGTTCAGAGTAAAGCTCTCGTGGCAAAGACAGTTCCGGAGGGTCTGCTGTGTAACTACCTTCTATGAGTCTGCAAGCATGCAGACAGCAGATTACAATCATACCTTGTTAATACGTGTGGTGTAGTATAGTGACGTGGCGGTGTTTGTCAAGTGTGATGGCACCGTGGTGTTATGTACAACGTGCTCGGAGACGACAGCAGCGGTGCTTCTCGATTAAGCAACGGAAAGACGATGACGACATTGGCGCGAAACGTCACGCATGAAACTGCGGCCCTCCAAAAGGAAGAGGAAGTTTGCACGAAAGGTTGCACTGCCAATGCACGAGGGGGAGAAGAGGAAGACGAGTCGAGGGCAGAACGAGATCGAACTGGCTGGAGTGCAGATTCTGGGTGTCGCGCGACTGCGGTGTCGGGTTCCGGACCCGATCGCATGAAGTCAGGCAAGGCCAGGACGCTCCAGCTGCCCACAGTGTACTCGGGGGTACACGGCCTTCCAGAGTTCTGGCCGTGACGGCTCAAGGTCACGTCCCAGGTGTTCGTTCTGGCCGTGACTGTTCAAGGTCGCGTCCCAGGTGTCCAAGCTTCGACTCCAATCCCGAACCACCCGTGGAGGGTGGAACCTTCCGCAGGGTGACCATCTCCTCAAAACGAGCCAGCATCAACAAGCGGCCGTAGTTCTTGCTAAGGCAAGGGCTACCTCGTCTTCCGCCATGCGTCGCCGTGCTGGTCAGCGCGTGACTCCAGCTGCTGAGACATCGCCAGCGTCCGCCGCCTCAACCCACCAAGCCACCGCCACCATCAACGCCACCGGTGACTGTTGATTTTTATAAACATTATAGCTGGACAACTTACAGGATATGTTTTTATTTGCCAGCTTAGACTCGGTGTCTGTCAATTGCAACTTAATCTCCTTTTTTTCTCTTAATTATGCTTAAAGTTTCTACTTTTCTTTTCACATCTTAAGCGGCTTCGTCATTTTTTAGCTCCGAGGCTTTCCCTTCGAGCAACAACTTATTCAATCGTAAACCTGCATCACAGTTCGTACCCGCCCTAAGTGTACGGATTAAAACATATAGTTAAACCTGCTTATAGCGAACCTCCATACAACAAATTCCTCGATAACGAAGTTTGTCTATTCCCCGCCATTGCTTCATAGAAGCACATGTATTTGTGACCTCTATGTAACAAAGTAACAGCGGGAGACAACCTTGATATAACGAATTTTCCCCACAGACAATCTAAGAATTTTGCTCCGCATTTTGTTACGAGCATGCATCGTCTGCGGCTGCCCTGCCACCAAAAAAGCGCGAAGCGGCGCAGCGCACACGGCGCACCAGGCAAGAGTAAGCGCCCATTATAGCGCACATGTGAGCGCGAGGCAGGCATGCGGGCCTGCACCGTACAAGCTGGCGTTGCTGGCGTTGCTGCCGTTTTTGCCGCCGCAGGCACATGCGCAAATGTGTGTGTGTGGGTGTGTCCCCACTTGAAACCTAAATAAAAAAAAAAGAGAACTACTTTTGCGTATTGGCAGTGCCATGCTTTAGTTAGCGTCACATATGTGGGGCCGCGCTGCATATGAAGGGCGCTTTACTGAATACTTTTCCGCGGTGTCCGTGTCATTTGCTTCATTTTCAACGCCGTGCACAGTTTCACTGCACGTGCATGGTGTGGCCCCTGATGACATTAAGCTTTGCTTTTTTTTTTTTTCTAACCATAGCATTTATGTGGAGAGTCCCGGCTGGTTTATTGCCGTCGCCGCCACAGCTGTCATTCACGGTATATGTAAGTATTTAATATGAAAACTCAAGAAAGAAAAAAAAAGCCGCCGCGCTCGGCACCCAGCTCGTCACAATGTGCCGACACGGGCTTCTTCCCACGAATAAAGGGGAGGGGGGTGGTAGATGCCTGTGCGCGCGCTTATCCTCAGGTGGAAAAAATAGCGCCTTCGACTTTGATTACAATGATTGGGTTTAGTTGCCGGGCGCACAAAGATTACTTCGCTCGCTGGACAGGCACCGTTTGCAAAAAGAGTGCGCTTTCCAAAAACAGCGAAGTAACAACTGGGGCACTTCGTTCGCACTCATATATGTACCTGTGATTACGTTTCGCGCCTCACTTTCGTTTTAAACAGCTTGTTAAGTGTCGAGCGATAAACGTTGTTAGTTTGCTCTCGTCCTGTGGATTGTTTTCGTGCGTCATTTATCCGTGAGCAGCGCGTTGCACGTTTCGATCTGCTTGCCGTTCTTAGCATTGCATTCAAAGTTGTTGCTATTGCAGTCATTATTTGCTTCGCCCTTGCGGCGAAACTGAGACTTTTCTTAATTTCAGACAACCGTGTCGTCGTCACCGAGGGGATGTCGGATGAGGCGTTCATGGAAACTCTCTGAGACCGCAGATCTTCGGAGGTCGGCTCTTTGTGTGCTTTCGTCATGCGCTGCGCCGCGAGTTCGCAGGCTGGTAGCTTTCGCGATTAGCCAATTCGTTCTCGCAACAACAGGACGGTGCGTTCAATGCAATGCAACACAATTGCGAAAAAATTGTACTGTTATAAGAAGTAAGACTGGCAGCCAACTCTTTTGGATCCGATATCGCTGAACTCTTACGAAACACTAGTGTGACCAAATACGGCCGCTCCTGGGATAAATGCTCTTTTCACACAGTCCCTTCGCGTTGAAACTGCACTGATACTCGATGAGATAGCAAGTGTGCCAGTGCACGCGACAGCCCTTAAAATCTCTGTTCATTAATGGCACTCGGTCGATTCCCCCGCCCCCCCGTTCCCTCGCCCCCCCGTTCCCTCGCAATCCCCGTGTTGTTTCATGCTCGTTCAAGACGGGTGATTTACTCTCTGTTTGAGCATTCCACAGCAGTTCTAACAAACGGGAGATGTTATCTTATGCACTTTCCAAGTGATAGGAATGGGCCGACTGATTTGATCTTTGCTTCAGCAGTGCTCGCATGCTTTTATCCGCTCGTGAAAGTTACAATGCGCGGGGGCATCTTATCAATTTGGACTTGTTATGGAACATGGTGGTGGCGGGAAAACCCGCTAAGTGAATCCATGTAATTGTTATCGCAATAAAAACACATTTTACTGTAAAATAAGTGTTTTGGGTTAGCTCTTCTTCAGTACCTCTCTTGATTAATTTGCGTGTTTATTTTCCAAAATTCCGTACCGAAACTGCATATGATGAAATCCTCTTTATAACAAATTTTTAAGAAACTTCATCAATTTCGTTATATCCAGGTTTAACTGTAGTTGCGACAAATCCCCGACCGAGGCTCATGGAAACTAATGCGGTCGCTGACTGCTTAAGCTGTAGTGGTCCTTCTTATGCCTACCAATTAGTGCGTACCATTCGTGTACCACGATAACATTTCGCACCATAAACATTTATGGTGCCGCTCAACTTGCAGATGCCACAATGTGCCGTGAACAGTTTTTCGTCACGGCATAAGTGCGGACATCAGCAGATCAGTTTTCAGACTTCTGCACGATTACAGCGATAACGTTGTGAGCAATCATCAGCAAAAAACAAAGGCGAGGTAGTGTCCACCAAAAAACGTGCCACTATGATTTATCGCCGCGAGAAGGCATATCATAGTAAGCATCCCCAGCTATCTGCTCAAGTCGCATGTGGCGTAGCATCACTTCAAGCCTACTTGATGCTTTTTGTGGGTGACTACCTTAATTTGCCCAAGCGCGTAACGCTTTACAGAAACGCAAGCAGCTCGCTGTGGCGAAGTTTAGCGTTGTGGGTCGAGAAACCTTGCTGTATTACGTCATTCGGCGTGCTGGACAGCAAGCTTAGTGTTGTTGTATTCATGCTGCACGCTTTTATTTTGCGACAGCCCATACGCGCCTCCATCCGCTGCCAGGACCACTAGAGCATCGTGGACAGTGCATTGCTTATGAAAAGTTCGTCGTCGCTGCGTTGATCCAGAAGGCTACCTGTCACATCTGTGTATAGGCTGAAGCAGAGTGGGTGTACTCTACAGCAAGTGGATTGGCAGTCATGGTGTGGGCTGAGTAAGCGAAGCGCTGCACGCAATTGGCCATACAGTAAACGTTTTGTGTCGCTGAGACTGAACTGCATTTAAAAAAAACTGCTTCAGCAGTCACTTAGGAGCAGACGGCAGAAAAACTATCACAGACAGCCGACTGTGCAGTGCCACACTGCGTAACCCGGACCCCACAGTGGTTTCGAAATGCTTTTTGGCCTCGTCACCACGGGCTATCAGGCGGTCGCGCAAGAGTCAGAATCTTTCCTGCACTTTGGCAAAAAAGAGAGCAATGGCTTTGCGGTGGGCCCATTAGGCAATATTTTCTATTGCACTGAATTTATTCCTTTGTTGGCGGCAATGGCACATATCAGGAGATGCAAATATGTAGCTGGTGGTTAATACATAGTATGTTTAGTGCGTAGTTACACTGCCATCGCCGGAAGGTACATAACGGGGTTTCACTATATAGGTCAACAGCATAGCTTTTCCCACTGCTGGAGCTAGCACCATGCCGCTGGGGCCGCAGGTTTCACTAAGCTACGGCTGGCAACAGATTGGCGTGCGCTAGAGTGTGGCGTTTGCAGCTTTGAGGTTCGGCAGCCGCAACACGGTGTTGCTGGCCGCACCTGCGATGGAAGTATGGTGTGTTTGAGGGTACAAAAACAGCCAAAATGACAGTGTCAATAGTAAATTGAAGTCCGCGGTTAGTGGTAAAAAGTCCACAAAATCGGATGCCAAAAACTATAATGTCCAAAATTTCGGTCATTTTAATACACGACTTTATGGAAAACTTGACGGTACTACAGATGAGACAAAGAAATAAGGCATGTCTGTATTTCCAGGCATCTGAGAAATGAGACATCAACTGTATTGTTTGTATTAAGCTTAAGTTCGTTTTAAGTGGGGCTGTTATATGTGGGCTCGACTACTGTTTTCTCACGAAAAACCTGGCCCTGACTATCACCTGCCCTACGAACTGCAGAAACAAAAAACAAAAGAAAAAAAAACAAATTATATCATCAGGCCACGCCCCAGGCCAACTTGTGCATCGAAATTAGCATCTAATGTTGCACACCGGTGTTAACTACGAACATTATATTTTGTGTGCATGAAATGAACGGAAACACACTCACTCCAAATTTTGGCCACTTGGGGTTCATTAACACGGACCTGAACATAAGCACTTATCAATGCGCTTGGCACAGCACTTCATTTGCTGGTACACGCACAATAGATTAGCAGATACGATGTCACTCACTGTTCTCAAGTACTGTGTTTGACTCGAGGAAGAAACCAACCAGAGTCTTCACCATCGGCACACCCACCTGCAAGGACAAGAAAGCAACTGATTGGTTGCGACAGACGAGGCCAGTTGACAGATATGCGACATGACTTGCTGGGCCACATTTTAAAATTTGAGTCACATGCCACCACACTGAAGCCCTAACCAGATGCACGCAATTTCCTCGCGACTGTGGCGAGCAACAAGATTTGCTGTCACCGAGGCCCATCCGTCACATCTGCTTGTTGCGTTGTGCGTTTCAGGAAAACTTGAAAAGATCGCTTGTCACCCGAAAGCCAGCATTGCAATTTCCGGCAACATGGCTGCACCCGGGGTCCTTGCTTCGGTTGCGATTTGCTTTTGATACTTCTTATCCACATGCACTTAAGAAATGCAAAGTATCGACTACCTTTTTTACATTCTCATCTCACGCGGAGTGTGAGAGAGCCACCATATTTTGTCATAAATCTCGTTATCAAATGAATCGTCTCGACGGTAGCTTGTAACCCTTTGGTCGCTTGCTACAATGCGAAATCGTCATGCGAAGTGCGTCGTAACCGTCATAGTGTACGCTTCTGGGCCGGCTGTCGTGGTAAAACCAAGGATTGCAAAAAAGAAAGTCATGAAATGCTTTTGTGGCTTCTTTATGTCACACAAGACAGTAATAAACTTGGCATGTTGTCATCGACCAACTTTTAAACTTCTATTTGCAATTCATGGGTACGCATGCGATAGTTTTCATTCAAGCAACAATGGCACTTTGTCACCAAGATATGGTTGTAGCCATTGCGACGCGATGAAGCAAGTTTGTCACTGTCACTAGATAATTGTGTGCATGCGGTTAGGGCTTGAATCGCACCTAGAATATGGGCAGGGTTCTTTACCTAAAAAAATATGCACCTACTCCATTATGGTGGGAACTGTCTCACCAGTATAGACCAAGAAAAAAAAAAGATGTTAAGCAAGCACTGTCAGCAGATTACCGATTTCTTGAAGAGTCTGCAGAACAACCGCATTCATTGTTTGGTGCTGTGCTGGCCAAACTTTCTTATAGCAATCATGGGCAATGTGACAAGCAGGAAATAACCCATGTCCAACACATGGTGCTTAATACAAAGCATCGATTCGCTCACTCACACCAACGAGTAACATGATCTCGGTGATGACCGCAATGGTGCATGAGGTCCGAGACCATTTGGGACTGAATTCACGAAATAAATGCCCTCCCATAATAAACACACCCCCAACTTCAGGTTGTTGTTTTTTTTTTTTCAGCATAATAAACGCACCCCCTACATTCATCCGCTGCAGTCCCACTAAGCGACCCATAGCACCATCCCTGGCCTTTGGATCTCTTCCCTTTTTCATTACAACCCACCTCGGCTCCATCCCTCCCCACCTTAGGCCATTGCCGATCACCATAATCTTTTTCTTCCCTCTCCGTGCACAGCATATTCCAAGTCTTTTAGATGCAAAGCAGCTCTTTGACTAGCCTGTGCGTAACGCTGTCCCGCAAATTTGCACAGACGCCCTCGCCACAGGTGTTGGAGTGGTGCCAAGTAGGTTAAGTCGCAGCTGCGCGCTGACGTCACTCGCTCCCTCACCCCCAGCAGCTGCCGGCTTCTCCATTCGCTCGCAACACACTTCTCTCTCAGTTCACCCACGAAGTCAATCGTACGTCAAGTGAAAACACTAGACAGATTTATTTGCGTGTGCGCAGCAGCCGTACGGATGCGGCCTGCCTTGGCAAACGGCTAGCCGGCTACATCTGTACGGTTGCTGTGGACGAGCGACTAAATCTGTTGACTCTTTCGGCTCGTTTATTTGTGACAAAGCTTACCCGAAACCCAGCCCACTTCCTGTGTCTTCGCATTTCAAACAGATGTTTACTCAAGTAAACGCTACACTGAGTTTCGTTTGAAACCATTCTTTCAAAATGGTGCAAAGACGCGCTATACGCTTCATTTTCAACAAATATAGGACCACCGACTCGCCAACTTCTCTAATGCTGGCGAATAGCATTTAAACCCTGAAAGATAGACAAAAAATCGATAGGCTGAAACTGCTGTTTGCTCTTTATACTGGTTCCACAGAGGTAAATGCATCGGTATACATTCAGCCATTTCAATCGCGCCCCACGAGACATCGGCACACGCACAATTTGCTTCCGTATCGAGCCCACACAAACATGTTCAAGAATTCGTTTTTCCCACGTACAGTATCGGAATGGAATTCACTGCCTGAAGTTGTTTTCACATCTCAGTCTATTTGCCATTTTGACCGTGCCATATTGTCTGTACTGTAGTCTGTACTCCCCTTGCTTTACTGTTTATCGCAAATGTGAATGTATGATAGGGAGATAGACCCATCACCGTTGTTCTGAAGGTCGTATTAACCTGTGTTTAAGCTCACCTATATATCTCTGTATAATGTACTTATCTTCTGTATTTTGTGCACATCATTCATCTAACTCGCTTACGTGTGTTTTCCACTTAATTTTTGTGCCTCTCCTGCTTGGTCTTTTTCAAGACCGCAGTATGTTGTAAATAAATAATAAAAAAAAAACGCCTCGATGCCCATTTTAACCGGATCAACACTGTGCCCCCTCACTGCTGCTCCACATGCCATCAGGGTTCTCTTCAGAGAGATGGCGTATATTCAAATTATCTATGTGCCACAGGGCAGTACACGAACAGTGCGAGTGTGGACATCGCAGCTCACAAGCACACCGAGCGAAGGTCACGAAACTATCCACTCCAACCGACGATCGCTTCCTGCAACTATAAAACATTAAAGCCCAACCACATGCACGCAATTTTCCAGCGACGAGAGGGTTTGCTGTCGTCATGGCTGTTACAAAGAGTCACTTTTTGCCACCGCATCGCAGGTTTCTGGAAAACTGAAATAAAATCGCTTGTCACCCAGAAAAAACTGTGACAATTTCTGTAACATAGTAGCAACCCCGAATCTCACTTTGGTTAGAATTTGCTCTTCGTGCTTGTTATCCGAGCATACATCAAGGAAGGCAATATATGAGAGACCAGCGCTGGATAGGTGGTGTGCTGAAAAAGAGCATCTGGGGGAGAGTCGCGAGACAACTCTGCTGCTAGCCCCCAGATGACCGACCGCAGTCTACCACTCTGCGAGCACATGCCTGCGTCGCTGCCATGCTTTATTTTGGAACAAACAGCTCGAAAAGCCATTACGCCAGTAATAACTGCACTGTGGTTTAGAAAAATAACTTTGTCCAAAGGCTACTCTCACATAAAAAGCACTAAAAAACAGAGAGAAGCCCTGCAAAGGGGACTGCGTCTATGCATATAGTATCAAAGGGACAATGCTGTGCTGTGATGGCAGCTCCCTTGTCCTCATTTTCTGATTGCGTGCTGGGTTTTGGGCTGATTCTGGTGCTGGCTGACATGCCCCCACTGATAAATCCGTGCTGCAACTATACCACGCTGCCAACATCTGCAGTAAACAAAACCATACAAAAACAAAAGCAGAGTAAGTGGTAGCTGCGTCAATTTTTTTTTCTGCCATCGTTTGTACGCCATGTCCGTGGTATGTATGGACGGGGACATTGACCAAGCAAACCACCGTGGCAGCATAACGCCTGTGGTGTCGCACTGCTATTCTTGAGGACGCTGGATAGGTTAGCGACCATGACGGCTGCGCTTCGATGGGAGTGATATATAAAAAGAACACCCGTGAACCTAGATATATGTGCGCATTGGAGAAACCTAAGCAGTCAAAATCTTGATACGCACACAACAGCGTACTTCAAAATTATATCTTGTTTGACACGTGAAAGCCTAGCAATTATCGATGTTGAACAGATACCTTCATTTTAAGGGGGCGGGCTACCCCGGAAACTGAACTTTTTTATTTTTTTAGAATATCTTTATGAAACTTTCAGGGTATGTTCCCTACAATAAAACTAGAATAACTGCAAAGTTTCATGAAATTGTGTTCAGGGGTTCTAGAGTTACTGAGGTCAAACTGGGTGGTTCACTTGTGTGCCTGAGGAAGAGCCGGAAGAAATCCCAGGACATACCGGAAGGCTGGAACTTTTTGTGGTCATCCCTGGACAGATATCCTAGGGAGCAAAAGAGCATTCCTTTTTTTTTATTTCCCCACAAAAAAAAAATTATGCAACTTTTAATTTGATGTAGCCAGCAAGTATGATATTTACAAAAAAAATTTTTCATTAATAATTATTGGCACCAATTTACAAAAAAAGAAGCTTGTTCCACCCTGGAAAAATCATCCAGGAGCATAATAAAAGAAACAGCACACAAATCTGATAAGCAGTTCTTGGGAAATCACTTTCCACAGCACCAAAACTAGCTAAATAATTCATTTTGAGAAAACGAGCTTTGAAAGTTTAGCACATGCGTTTTCCTCAAAAAGCTCCAGTAGGGTAGCTTGAAGTGTCCTTGTGCACTTTTTTCCTCTTTTGTCTACCCTCCATCTTCTCTAAGTGCCATTTGGAATTTTTTTTTCAGATGTGGGGCATCTTTTTCAAGAGCCGGCTGAATCAGTTCAAATTTTTCTGCGTTGCTGGCGTTGATTCAAAATCAGTGCGAACGGTGTCTCGACACCTAGCATTCGCATCGATTTCTTCCTCAGTTAGGAAATGCATCCACAGATGAAGGATCGATGGCCCATACAAGCTATTGGCCCCAATGCAGACAAAGTGCTGGGTCTGGCGATCTTAGCAACACTTGGTGTCACGCTTGACGGTACCGATTCAGAGCACGTGCTGGAACTGGCGATCTCGAACACGCTCGATGCAATTGCGGCTCCAGGTACACATGGTTTGTGGAATTCTAGACTGATGGCAGCCGACAGCACAGTTTCGCCGGCGTAAGCATCTACGCACTGGGCTTTGCAACAGAAAAGCGGAATTTAGATTCTTGTAGAATCCGCATAATGCTTTTCCGCGCTCTGAACTTGTTCACCGTCTTCGCCTTCCTTGCCAGCATCACGCACAGCAACAAAAATTAAAAGCACAAAACTTGTGCGAAAAGAAAAAAAGAAGAG